ATGATTTCTTATCTGATGTTTGAAGTACCGGTGTAAGATCTGCAACCGCGCAATAGGAAATTTACTCCGAATGTGGTACCCTTCCCGAGGGAAACGAATCAGAATGGCTAGGGTAGTGAGTGCGTACGTTGAGCGTGCATACCAGCTTTAATGTTATCTAGAGGTCAGAGAGAAACAAGGTATTAATTAACAAAATGGAATGGCTATCTACAGCGAATCTTCATCAAGAAGATCCATGGTTATAATCATCGAAGATATAATAATCATTGGATATCACATCATCTCACCATGGCCATTAGCGAATCAAAGATGTCCAAGTTTCGAACCTCCATTTATCCTGTCAACTGTAGAATAGCTCACTGGGGGCTATAGTAAACGAATGTGTCAGAATTGAAATGCATCGCGGTAAATAGCCGCCATCATCTAATCGTTGATTCGAAGATTGAAGATCTTCCAAGGACGGACTAGAACATGGTAAGAATGATTATTTTTTACGTTCTACGACCCATCAACCGTTTTCTACAGGGAAGTGAAAACAATTTTATTTCTTTGCCTACTTAACTAGTAGATACCTAGTACTTATCAAGAGGCTAGAGAAAAGGTTAACAATGTGGACTTTATTAGTACAGCTACTACACACCACACACACCACACAAACCAACAATCTTTCTAGCTGGCCCATACGAAAACTTTTATTTTTTTATTCCTTTCCAATTCTTTTCCAATTGTAAATAATATAACATACAGACTATTCACCCCCGGTTGCTCGTGTCATATCATATCATATCAATTTCCACTTCGTCATCCTGGTCTCTTCGTCTTCTTCGTCTTTCTCGTCCACTTTCTCTTCTCTTTCTCCTACCCCTTCTCCCTCTCCTCGTGCCCTTTCTGTTTCTCATCTTATCACACAGTACTTAACATTCCATACTCCATATTGACCTGTCGAATCGTACCAATATCTCAAGGGATTCGGTCCAACAAATTATCCAATTGAGGTGTCGTTGATCTAGGTTGACGGACAAAGCTAAAGATTCAACACGACCATTGTGCTTTCCTGCCAAGCGTTGATAAGACTAACAAAGACCAATCTCAAACCTCGTCATTTTTAATCTTCGAAAGCTTCTTTCCCCTTTTGCTTCGCCACATTAAACATTATACAACAAACCGTCCGAGGAGTCTATCGCAGACTTCCTTCGCGACTTCCTCGGGTCTGCGACCCTCATACAATGCATTCCGTGCAAACGGGGATTTCCAACTATTCATCCAACTCGAGTAGCTGATAATTTTAATATCTTCTGCGGAGCGCCGCCAACACCCCTTGGTTGAACTTTTCTTTCAGAACCGCAAAGATGTTCTCTTTTCTGCTAGAAGTATGGCAACATATTGCGGCTCTCAAGCCATCTTTTATTTCCAAAAGCCCCCATTTCAATTTCATCACTGTACATTGTAAGTTTAGAGAGACACAAATAATGGAAAACTCCGCATGTGTAACGACACTAACTTAACGTCTTGAAAAGATTTCTGGATCATTGGAATGACACTGCTCGGTTCTATCTGTCTATATATTCGAGGAGGAATACCTTACATAGATGCGCTATTCTTCGCAAGTGGTTGTGCAACCCAAAGTGGATTGAACACTATCAACATCAACACCCTCAACACATGGCAGCAAATTGTCCTGTATCTAATACCGATATTCACGAACCCGATCACGATCAATTCCTTTGTCGTTTTCCTTCGATTATACTGGTTCGAAAAACGATTCCAGCACATCGCTGCCCAAAACAAGCGAAACCGAAGGAGCATCGCCAAATCATTCTCCAGATCGAGAACCACTGGCGCGGATACTGTAGACGCGGAGAAAGGTGTTAATGGCAGAAACATTGTTGTAATGCATGGCACGACAAGAGCCAATGTTATGCGCGACAATCGGGATGCTATTGATGATATCCAAGCGGCAATCGAGAAAGAAAAGGCGCTAAACAAGGCAGATGCTGTCAACGGTTCTGGAAGTAGTAACATATCAAGCACGGAGACCGCGAACGATCCCAGTCCTACTTCACACCACACGCAAATTAAATTTGCCGATCAAGTAAAAAGGAGCAATGGACTGGCCGATGAAGAGCTGCGATTACCAGTTCGTCGTAGGGATGAAGATCATATTGCCTTCTTAGAACGTCAGAGAAATCCAGAAGACAGAACTATTCTTCGAATTCCTGGACCAAGAGATGCGGACGCTGGTGTTGCTCCGCAAACCGTTGAAGAGGAGGAGGAAGATCCAGTCGTTAGGACGTTATCTCGCAGAGGTTCTATGTATTCTCGACCTGAAAGCCATGGTCGTGGCACTTTGAATGGAGAGTCGAAATGGCAAGATCACTATCCCTCAAGGAAGCGTAACGTTACAATCGAAGTTCCAACACATCCTAAAGTTGAGCGGGCGGCGGATGATGTGAAAGCTGCAAGCGCTACCATGAAGGGTGTTATGAGATTCCGCAACAACCGAAACACCGAGGGCGCCGAAGCCACGGATGCTCAGGGAAATGGAAATGGCGCAGTCATGTCAAAATTGAAGTCAAGAGCTCCAACATTTCAAAGCATCAAAACAGCTCTCACTGGCGAAAAGGAGGACCCCACTCCTTATTTGAGTTGGGCACCAACCATCGGTCGTAACTCAGCCTTCGTTGATCTCACCGAGCAACAAAGAGAAGAACTCGGTGGAATCGAATACAGATCACTGAAATCTTTGGCTTTAGTTTTGTCTTGTTATTTTCTAGGTTTCAGTATATTCGCTGTTGTTTGTCTATTGCCCTGGATTCTTAACAATCGGACCTATGGCTCAATAGTCGAGCAAGATGGTCAGGGCAGAGTTTGGTGGGGTATATTCACAGCTAGTTCTGCTTTTACGGATCTGGGATTTACCCTCACCCCTGACAGCATGATCTCTTTCAATACTGCTATTTGGCCACTTTTGCTGATGTCGTTCCTGATTATCATTGGCAACACGGGATTTCCGATCATGCTGAGATTTATCATTTGGGTCACCACATTGTGGGTGCCCAGAAACAGTGCGGTCTGGGAGGAATTGAGATTTTTACTAGATCATCCTCGTCGATGTTTCACGCTACTTTTTCCAAGTAAGGCGACTTGGTGGCTTTTCTGGATTCTTATTATATTGAACGGGGTTGACTTACTGTTCTTCATTATTCTTGATGTAAGTTTTCCCATCCTTCGTGGTATTGTACTTTACTGATTGCCTGTCTTAGCTTGGCAATTCTGTTGTGACTGATCTGCCAGTTAATATTCGTGTTCTCGATGGTTGGTTCCAAGCTGCTTCCACAAGAACAGCTGGGTTTGGAGTTGTCAATCTTGCGGAACTTCATCCTGCCATCCAGGTTTCTTATCTAATCATGATGTATATTTCTGTTCTCCCTATTGCCATTTCTGTTCGTCGCACGAACGTTTATGAGGAAAAGTCATTGGGTATTTATGGATCGCCAACAGAGGAAAATGAGGACGAAGGCGAGCCATCTTACGTCGGTGCCCATCTTCGAAGACAACTGTCTTTCGATTTGTGGTATATTTTCTTGGGTCTTTTTATCATTTCAATCGCTGAAGGCAGCCGCCTCCAAGGTACTGATCCGTCTATTAATATGTTTTCAGTCTTGTTTGAGATTGTCAGTGCCTACGGTACAGTTGGTCTGAGTCTAGGATATCCGGGAATTGATGCCTCTTTATCTGCCGAATTCAATGTTGTCTCGAAACTGGTCATTATTGCGATGCAAATTCGTGGGCGTCATCGTGGTCTTCCGTACGAGCTCGATCGGGCCATCTTGTTGCCAAGCGAGCATTTAGCAGAGAAAGAAGCTCTAGATGCAACACACCGAGTTCACCGTCGGAATTCCAATGCGACAGCTGTAAGCAATGGAACAGATCTCGCAACTGTCAACACTGGCGTTCAAAGAGTCAATACGGAACGTCCAGCCCCATCATCGAACTTCCTTAGCAGTCTTCTTCACCCAGGCCCGACTATTCCAAATAGCCACCGGAATCAAGGTACGACCCATGTTAGGCGGCACAGCATAGCAACACCAGAAAGAGGACGAAGCGTCAGTCCAAAAGCTAGTGGCGGCATCTTCTCCAAATGGAACAGCTCCGATAAACATCAAAATAATGTGGATAAGAAAATCTCCGAATAATTGAGATGATTTTGGAATGGAGATGTGAATCAATTGTACAAAAAAATGGTTGTGGAATAAAAGCACTGGACTTTGTTTCTTTTCAAAAGGGGGAGGTTGCGAAAATATGGGATACTACTACGATATCATGATACCTTAGATCGAATTTGCTTTCTGGGGCATATGTTTTGATGATTTTGGAGTTGGTATGTTGATGGGTTTATAGATACGTAGGCATGGGTAGCGTTGTCGTTATTGTGTTTGGGCATGTTGGAGAACTCAATGGAGTGTAGCGAAGCGTGGGTAAATGAAACATCAGTTTGGAGGTCTGGGACTTGGATTAAATCGTATTACACATAACGGCGTGCATAGGTGTTTGGGAGTTTTCATGGCATATAATACATATTAGCCTGGACTTGTGTAGATAGGCATGAAGATAGCATGGCTTTGAATATTATTTACATATAATTTTTGCACTTCCTTGACTTTTATTGAGCGCTTGACTGTGGGTGCGAGTCGGTGATGAAGTAGTTACGTTTTGATTGTAGAGTTTGTGTATTGTGTTCATTTGTAATTCACGTCAAAACCCCCCTCACTCGCTCGATAGTTAATTCTATTTGAGACTGCTTATTCTGAAGATAGGTAGCGCCAGTGTTAAAAATGAACGTATGCCTGTAATGCATTGATTAACAGTCGATGAGAATTTGAACATATCATAAAGATCATGAATATGTATGTAGGTAATGAAAGGAAGGTGAAGGTCATCGAAACAATATTGAATGCAGCAGTAGACCAAAGGCTATCAAATCAAAACTCGTAGGCATCAATTGTTCAGGTCGCTTGTATATATGTTTCATGTAGACATCCCTGAGTTGATGGATAATGGATCAGCAAACCGGATTTTGTATTGAGGTGGAGTTTTGTACTGTGTGTTTCGTTTGGAGTATCTGACATAGTTTGGATGGAGTATGGTCTAGCAGTGGGGAATTTGGGGGTATTCCGTCACTTTTGAATATTGGAATTGCTTTGGATGTTGATTTGATTTGAAATGATTCATTGATGGAATTTATAATGGTAATAAGAGATAGGTACGCTTGCCGGATGGTACTTCTCGATTCTTGTTGACTTCTTGATGCTTTTCATAATGTGATTTCGTCACTCATTCATATGTTTTACAGTGGGAGATTAATTTCTGAAGGGTGTGGTTGGATTCTATTTCTATGATGAGAAATGAGAGATGAGAGATAGTGAAATGATTGATTGGGGTTTTTAGGGTGTTTTGGGATAAAGGGGTTCGTCTCCGAAGCGAATTCTTTTTGAGAGGGTTGGGCGGCGTGGGGTGAAGTGGAGTCGAGTGGATTGTGGTAGGTGGCAGCTATGGCTTGGAGTGTAGATGAAGTATGGCAAGATTTCAACTTCGAGATGAGGAGTCGGTGAGGATTGGTCCAGCTTACCTTGGTTGTGACGTGCATTTTCAGCCAAAGTATACTGGATGAGTTTCGGGACGAAATGGCCGCCATGCGAAGACGTCCAGAAATTTATCTAGATGTTGTGGGGAAGCGATTCTTTACAAAATTTGCTTGTTGTGATTGTAAGAGTTGAGGCCCTGGCTTATCGCATATTTAAGCGAGATTAGAATAACCACCTAATTTCGCATATCTTATTTTAACAATTCAAATTCAAAATGAATATTGAATATAATCACAAAAATAATAATTATAAATTTTATTAAAATTGATATACTCCTCAATATTCTAAAGTTATTTAAATTAGGATTGATAGAAAATCCTAAAAATGAATTACTTCAAATTTAAATGTATTATGATTTATTATAAGAAATATAATTAAATTTAATTCAATTAAAAGAATTCAAAAAAAGAAGATTTATTAAAAACCTATAATAATTATTAAAAAAAATTATCAAATTATAAGAATAATTATTAAAAATTAAAGCAAAAAAAGAATAATTTTTAAATAAATGAAAAATATATTTGATATTAAAATTTTAATATATATAATTCAAAAGAAATTATATTGATATAGGTATAGGAAGTATATAGTATATTCTAGATCCTTTATCTCGAGAATACAAGCAAAAAAGAGACTAGATTTTGTATATAAATATTACTAATAAGGAACTAATAATATTATCATTGTTAGACTAAAAGAGGGGAATTGAAGGTTAATTATATGATTGAACAAAAACATTTTCGAATTAGAAAAAGCAAATAGGATATAAATTATTAAATGGGTTAATAAAAAAAGATATATTAATTATATTAAATTAGTATATTAATCAAGAAGAATATTAGTAATGATATAAGGTATAATCAGTTAAAACTATAAATCTCTATTAATCTTTTTAAAAAGACTTAAGGGTAATAAAGGTATTATTTCTAAAGTATACGATGGTTGAATGGGTAAGTCGTGTAAAACGCTAATTGACCCCATATGTAGCTGGGATATCAAAATAAATAGATTTAATTGGTTGATTTAGTCTGTTTTAATACTGCTTTTAAAAACCTATTTCAAATTAGTTCTAGAAAGTATCTTTAGGAATTGTTATGAAAAAGCTTGTTTTTTATATTTTCTTTAAAATAAATATACTAAAAAAAATATAATATTCGAATTTATTAAAATAAAAAAAGTTAATCTATTATTATTTATTTTATTATCGATATCCTTAAATACTAAATCTATACCACCACCTATTATATCGCTGTTGCCTTTTATATCTAAATATTAAGAAATGATTCAAAATCAATAAATCAAAATATACATTTTATATTATATTAATATAAAATCTAAAAAGATTCGATCTTTCTTTTTTTAAAAAAAAGTAAATCTGATATATAAATAGATTTATTATACTATTAAAATACAAATAACTCCTCAAAAATATTCTAGTTGATCTTTTATTTTGATTACTAATCAAGTCAATCAATTTATTCAATTTATAAGCAAATCAAAAACAAATAGACGGATACTATATTAAAAAGTTGCTATTGTATTAATTTGGGAAGGAATAGGAGAATTTGCTATTCAATCTGCTCTATATAAAACAGGATATAAACATTATATTGCTTTTTGAAAATCTTTTATATCAAAAAGAAATCAATAAATTCGATTCTAATTTATATTAAATTATATTTATTAAATTAAAAAATAATAGAATATTAATTTATGATTAAATAAAATATGGGTAATTATAGGATTATATAAAAAGATATATATTATATATCAAAAAAATAAAGTTTTTAATTTTATATATATATTAGAAAAAGAATATAAGAAAGCTAAATAAATATTCTGGGATTGTTTTTTAGGTAAATTAGGCAAAGAATTAAATATATTTTAGAAAAAGGATTAGGGAATTATTAATATTGAATTTTATTAAGTATATATAATATTTATTATTTATAATTAAATGAAATTGAATTTAGGTTATATATTTATATAAGATAATATATCAAAATATTCTATGAATATTATTATTTAAGATCTTTTTGAAAGAAGAATTGAAAAGGTAAATTGATCTTCTTTTTCTTTTAATTTCAATTTTATTGAAAATGTATAGAATTGAATGAAAGAATAAATTTGGAATTATTATTTTATAGATAAATTGAATTATGAGATATTAAGAAAGGCTATAAAAGAAGCATAAGAGATGGTTTTTAAAGGATTATCTAAAGGAATTATTAAGATTTATGAAAAAGTGTTGTAAAGTAGTAATTATAGTAAATGGAATGTATACAAGATTTTAATATAACTAAATATACTCAGATATTTCTTTATAATATTTTGGTATACTAGAGTTTACTATATTAATTTTAAAAGAGCATAATGTTTTTATTGATTAGAGCCCTTGTATATAAGAAAAAGCATGGCCGCTTTTTGATATGTTTTATAATACTTACCCATTCAATCATTATATATATAGTAAGTCCTTAAGCCTATTATATTTCCATTATTCAATAAACTAAAATCTGAATATATATTCATAGAGGATAATTCTAAGATGTATTCCGGATATGTTTGTAAAGTTCGATTGGAGTATAATATATAAGACTTTGATTGGTTATTTTTCTTTTTGGATTTTAATTCAATTGAAAAAGTATAGTAATAAATAAAAGAGGAACTAAAAGAGCTATTATTTGTACCTATTTTTATAAAGAAATTGAAATATAAATTGTAAGTTTTCTGAGATAGAATAAATTCCTTAGATTTCAGGTTATATATTGAGAAATTGACTTACAAAATTAAAAATATCATTAAAATATGAGGATTAACTATTATTTATTAATATAATATTTAAGTTTTAAAAGATTATATTGTATAATTTATTTATTATTAAATTTTAAAAAATTAGATCGAAAAATAGGTGGTGTACGATAAGCCGGGGCCTCAACTCTTACCTTGTTATTCGAAGACTATCTTTTGCCGAATTTCTGCATCCACACTGCTGAGAGCCACCGCTTGAGTGCTGTTCGCGGTGTTGTGAGGATTATGGCTTGAAAAGAATTCTCGTCGCGATCTAGACGTAAATCCCGCTGGGGTCTCTATTAAATTTCTGTCAAACGCCAGATATGTCATTGGCATCAAGAACGCCAGGCTCAGCAAGATTGTAGCTATAGCCTTGAATCAGGTCAGTACCAACTATCTTCAAAGTGGAAGGCATTACTTACCTGTTTTGTACAGGCTGGTCAACGTAAAGAATTTCTGAATGTTCGGTCCAAGAGAGTCGATTGTTAGAGGCATATATCCAGAATGGCTCTCTACACCCGTCGTTTCCTCACATCGTGAAACCGGCTTTGAGTCGAAATGGATGTCATCTCGGGAGTCTCGAGGAGAGCGACAGGACAGTTCACAGAATCTCAAACGTTATGTACCTCCATCAGGCCTTTCGGTGTACCCTTAGAATTGGCACGTTTCTTTCATATAGTCATGAATCCATTCTACATACTTGACAGACGTCGTGCCGACACAAGTCTACCGTTTACTCGCCCCTGTGTGATCGAAAT